TCTTCGAATGAAATCTACAAGAAATCTTAAAAAATCTGTCGCTTGAGATATTTAGCAAAGATTACAAAAAAATATTTAGAAATTATTCTATGCTACTAGGGAAATTAATTCATTTCGATAACGAAAATAATTAAAATAGGTAATAAGTAACACCTAAACGTAAAACCACTTTTTCTTGTGTCAGCCAAACGTTATTCTTTAGGCGCCTCACGCAAACATATATTTTGCAAATTCATTGTAGTGATTTATTACGAATTAAATTAGAATAATTTTCTTGTTCTCCATACATATTTCCTGTTTTGATAATCAACCGATGGCACGAATTCCGTTCGCTCGACGTTCTTTCGTTAAGATTGATTATGTTAATGCTGTAGGTAATCGCAAAGCTGTAAAAAGCTAAGGCGATGCCTAAGGCAAGTTTTTTTTTCTTTTTTCCAATTCCGTTAATTATTCTCTCTATCTGCTCGTGAATTATCTCAAGTGGCCGTGTCTATGTCTTTCAAAGTGCCCCGGGTTCAATATCTCAAGTATTTCACTTTGTTAAAGGGACCTAAAGCGAGTTTTAAACCCAACAAAATTTCATTTAACATATTCCATCACGACTGTCAGGAAAAATAAGAAAAGGAACAACCTGCTCGCCTTTTCGAACAGACGTTGAATATGAGAAAAGAAATGTTGCGCAGTTATCGGCCACTTTGAATCTTCTTACCTTCGAATTTTTTTGTAGGTCTCAGGGTTTTATAGAACTTGTCAGAAATACCTAATTTATCACTTCAATGAAATGAAATAGAGGTAGCCCTCCTACAACGCGGCATCCTATAACACGGTTTCGCTCTAACACGCTAGGATAAATTGCGGGAACCCTCCTATAGCACTGCACCCTATACCCTAATAGCTTAGAATAATATTTAATATTTCTTTGTAATCTTTGCTAAATATCTCAAGCGACAAATGTAGGTGGAATAATTTAAAAAAGTATTATTTATTTTGCACTAAATGCATTTTTTTTAGAAACAATTTACCACGATCTGTTTAGGGACCTGAAATCTTCGAGATATACAAATATCTGACATTGAAAAAATCCTCAATGGTGGTGACCGGTATTGGAACCCGAATCATTTGGGTAACAAAGACTATAGTAGTACTAACCACTGAGCTACCGTAGTCATATGGATCATGCGACACGTTTCGCATATTAAAACACCACAGTAATAAGTTTAATTAAAATTTGGTTTAATCAATATCATTTATATTGCCAATCTGTGGCCAAAAATAAGGGCATGTATATAAGTTATATATATATTCCTTGCAAATACTTGTACTTGTATAAGAAAATCGTCGCGGCCAAAACGATATGTCTCTTGACATCATTTTGATTTTGTATGAGCTTCACTTTCAGTCTGCAGTAGTCAGGTCGCACACCAATGAGGCATATAAGTAACATGCAGCAAAGAAGCATTTAATGTACCATGTTATTTAAATACATCTACGCACATATTACAAGCATTTGTTGTATTACGTACTTTATGGGTAGAAATAAATTTCCCTATATGTTTGTTATTATACGTATGTAATATGTATGTATGTCATATGTATACGGCAAATTGATGTTCATTTCCTTAATATACGCACAACGTACGCATATTACATATCTTTTGCATGTGTGATATGTCAGACACGAGTGCGCCTTAAATAGAAGTATATTATACGTTTAGTATACGTCGTATATTTGTGAAAACGGGGCTGCTCTAAGAACGTATAAAGTACGTACATCAAACCTACGAGTAAAATAATTTATATTTGTTTACATAGAATGTACGTATATTTTACGTCTGTGGCAGGTCAGTTTTTCTTCCCTTAATATACACGCAACATACGTTCATTAGATGTCTCTTGCATATGTAATATCGCAGATACAAGAGTCTATCAAATAGAGATGTATTATACGTTTACTAAACGTATTTAATTGGTGAAAATTTTGATGTTCCAGTAACGTATTTAATACATATAATGTACACCTAAAATCCAATAGAATATTTTTCACATTCCGTGAACATATATTATATGTATATTTTTAACTTCTGATATACTGAAACATCCCATAGCCATGAAAACATTCTGTGTACGTATAAAAGAGCTTTTGTTCCGTGTGGGAAGACATACATTTTCACCACTCGGTTGCCAAATTTACTTATTATTCACAAGCAGTCGATTTCCGAATGAAAATGTATGAGAAAGAAAGAGGTTTTGCGAACGTGTGAAGATACTGCTTTTGGAGCCGAAGCATTTTAACAAATTACTAAACGCAAATATCCACTTAAACTAATGTTTAATTTATCTTACATTTTGTAGTGTAAACTTCTTTGGAACGTTTTCTCATAATGCTATTCTCTTTCATCATACGATATAACTCAGTACTTTCATAGTTCATAGTTTCAGTAAAATTTAAGTATATTTTGTATCATTTTATTAATTATGTGAATAAGGGTAAATGTTTCTTGATAGTATTGACTGATTCAACCTTAGTAGCACAAAATATTTGTCATATATTTTCTATATATTTAACGAATATCATACATTTTGTAAATATTTGGCAGACATTTGAAATATTTGTCAAACGTTTACTTTAGAATATTATCACTATA